GTATTTATAGAGATCGGGGGGGGGAAGGGGGGGATTGGGGGTGGCGAAACGTTAGGAAACAAAACTTCCAGAACACGGCCACATAGCCCGGAAGAACCCCACCAGCCATCGTATGCCGGCCGTGAAAGCCTTCAACAATACATTTCTGAGGAATCTTTATAATGAACAAAAAACTACTATAAGAATTAAATTAGTAGAAAGGAATGGTTCAGAATTGGGAAAGGAGTGAGACTCCTCACATTTGCTTAATGTATATAGTGAGTATGTTACAAGAATGGCAAGCTGGGAAAAAGGTACAGTTGGGAATCAGAATTGGAGACTGAAATTAGGAATTATTTGAAATATGCAGATGGTGCTATTTTGTTAGCTGAGAGTAAAGAAGAGCCTATTGTTAAAATAAAAATGGTAAGTGAATAATCTGGGTTCATATTAAACACTAAGAAAACAATGGTAATATCAAACAACTTGCTTTGTGAATTTATAGTTGTTAGTGAAGAAGCAAAGGTTGTAGATATTTTTCTTTGATTCAAGAATAAAGACAAAATGTGCCACAGAAGCAGAAAGGAAATTATTAATTGTCAGGACAAATTTAGACAAGATCATGAAGGATAATTACATTTCAGTTTTAAGAAAAATCAGAATGGTTAATGAAATGGTCTTTCCAGTGTCAAAGAATTTTTGTGAAATCTGGATCCTGAGAAATAGTGAGAGAAAATCAGATGCCTCTAAATTAAGGATTTGATTACTAAGCTAACACTATGATTGATTGTGAGAGTATCAATAAATCTATCTTGGACCAGATAAAGGCAGACTGATCCCTTGTGGCAATGATCAGCAAGTAGAAACACACTTTGGGCATATGTTGAAACAGGTGATGGATTAGAAAAATGATTGCGCTTGGCAAAGGTAAGACAGTGAATAAGCTTGAGGGACAGGATCAAAAAGATTACTGGAACTTCATGAGAAGAAGTCAAGATGGAAAGCATTTATCCATAAACTTACCAGAATCAACCCAACTTAATGGTACCAAACATACTAAAGGACAGGTGTTCATATCAATGGTTTGGACCTTTCCATGAATTATTAAAATACAGTCGGAACACTGATGCTTTAAGACTGCTTGGAGCTATCAGGAACCGAGCTGGGGATCCCCGATTCTCTATAGAGCAACCCTGGATAATCTCCTTGACAAATTAGGTGTTCTTAAATTCTGGTTTATGAAGGAAGAACCTTGAAGAGCTTTTTGCTTTAGTTTTATTGGGAGATAATGATACTCCAGCCTCTGTTGTATCCTGCTTTGGCTCCCAATTCCATCTTGATATAAAATAATTTAAGGGTTCAACTTCCTATTTTGTATATAGTGCCTACTTTTCACAAAGCCCATTGGAGTCTCTTATTTCAGAGAGTTTTGATAATCAAATTCAAAATCTCTCAAGGATCTCTACACCTGAACAAATTGTTTTGACAGAGCTTAAAATGGACTTTTAACCATGTTTTAAGAGGCAATATTAATATGAATAAAGAAAAGTCTGTGTGGTAGAATGTGCTTGCTTGTATGGCTCACTGTTATGATAGGTCATTTAAGAATTCACACTTATCTCACTCTGTTTGATAAGTGACACATCTGTTTCCAATACCTACACATATACACATATATACAAATGTACACACAACACACATGCACATACACTGTGGTCAAAATCTCTGGTAAGAACTTCAGTGGAAGGCTTATCAGTCAGATAATGGGCAGCATGATAACACACTGACAATAATCAATTTAAGAAGCAGGCTTCAGTTCAACCATCTGAATTTTTAATTTCACCAGGGAATATATTGCAAATTAAGTATCTGACATACAGTCCATTTGGAACCACAATTCAGTTTACCAAAATAGAAAGTAATTTTCTCTTAGCAACTCAATAGTGATTGCACGTAATGAGAATAAGACAAGCACAGCAACCACCATTCACCAAGGACAATATGTCAAATATCTCTAAGTTTGGCAGTTCAGTTTAATTAAAATCCAAATCCTAGACAGTGTCCAAAACTTTGGTTCTCGCAGGATGTTAACCATCTCCTCCTCCTCCTCCTCTTTATCATTAAGAAAATACTTTGGTTTTTTTCAGGATATAAAACTATTAGTTTTTTCAGAATATAAAACTATAGTTTTAATATAATAAAATAT